GTATTTCCTGGTTGCAGGATCCTCCAATGAGACTATCATTTGACCATTCAAGTGCATCTGAGATTGAAGAAGACACTGATGGTGTGTGGAGCATTGTTGGAGGCAAGGTTAAAAAGATTTTATTACGATCTTTAATTTTTTTATTATCTTACATACTAAATATAGAATACCATGGTTTTCATTGAGTTAGACATGGTAAAAGAACAATGCCTCAAGATTTTTTGTTTCAATTTTATTCGTCCCCAAATAGTTTTTAACAAAGTATTATTAGTTTCTATGTTGCATCACTAACACCTGTAATTTAATTTTATTTGATTTTATTTGATTTTATTTATTTGATTTTCCTTAAAGCAGGCATCTTGCCGGAGGAGCTTTTCTTTAGATGTCACGTTACTGGACGCGTTTGATTGTATTATGCACAAAGAATTAGAGGTTCTTCTTCCATCATCTGCTTTCCTTGCCTTTTCCATTATTAAAACTATAATCTTGTGCCTAAGTTATTTTTTCTTTTTTTTTCCTTTTTTTTTTTAATGTTTCGACTATTAAGGTTGTTGCATCCCTTTATTATGCTGATACCGAGACCCCCGTTGAGAACAGTTCAGATGCAGAATCTCCCCTACTCACGAGCTATGATGGGCACGAATATGCTTCTCATGATAGACCTTGTAAACTAACTAACGGACGTGCTTCCTTTAAGCTCAAAATATCTCAGGTATAAATAATTAAATATAATACACCACTGTCACTTATCCTTGTTTGCAGATATATTATTCTATGGGGATGTTAAAAATAGAAGCTTTTTTGAAGTTTTGCATCATACCAGCTTTATTCCTTGTGCATTTGGTCGAGGTGTGATTTAAATTTTTGTTTATTTATTTATTTTTTCAATTTCAGCTGTCATCAAAGTGCGAAAACCGGCTTTTCCAAATTAAATTCGACACGCCAAAATACGGGAAATATCCTTTCCTCGAAACACTCTCCCCTCCCATTCGTTGTGTTTCGCGGAGTAAGAATATCCGAGCTGCCCCACAGATGTGTAAGAAGTCATCATCCAATAAAATAATTGGCTGTGGTGATCCCCATGGTTTTGTTGATGGCTCGTTGGAAATGATTTCCAATATAGTACGTGAAGCAAAACCGAGCCCATCTTCCAAACGGGTCAAACTAGGAAATGATAATATACCATTTGCAATGTCCAATGCCTGCTATAATAGCTCGCATGCTTCGGCTAGTTTCGAGGTAGCTTTTCAAGTCCTTTATGTAATCCTTCATTAAGTGCTATCAGTATCATTTTTGACAAGATCATGTAATCTGTTGCCAAAAAAATTAGAATAACGCTTACGGAGCGAATGTGATGAGGATGAGACCAGTGAACCAATCGGGGGCCGAGAACAACAACTCTTCTGCTTCGGATAACAGCGAAGCAACTAATTTTGACCCGAAAGTCAAACTCAGCTTCGCGAGTCCGATTTCGGACGTGATAATTTTCAAGTACTGCTTGGGGGGTCTCGCCGAGAGGTGTCAACTGCTTAAGGAACTTGCTTTCTCGGCTAGCGAGGAACAATTGGCAAATTTTGCCGAGCAGGTCTCTTTGTTTTCTGGGTGCTCTCATCATCGGTATTCTTCTCTCTCTCTCTCCAATACACAATAGTTAATTAAAGTTTTATGTTCATTAAGGAAGTTTCTAAAATTTTAGGCAACAGATAAGAATGGCAAAGAGATTGGTCGATGAGGGGATTCGTGTTTGGAGTTCAGTACCGGAGAACAATAAACATGTTCTGTGGGAGGATTTGATTTTCAAGATGAATGAAAGTTTCATGAGGATAAGCTACTCTACTCGTTCCTTCACGGATCAGGTCTCGATTTGGATTTTTTCCCCATTTTCTTTAGTATTTTTCAATTTTTTTTTTTTTTTCAAAAAGTTTATTCAAAAATATTATATACAGGACTTTGAGTGCCTCAGGAGGATAGCGGGCTGCCGAGACTTAGTCTCCCAAGGAGATTTCGAACGAGTGTGGTCATGGTTGTACCCTGTTGCTTGTACTTTGTCACAACCGGCAGTTAATCCGATGTGGAATTCGGTATCACCCGTTTGGATTCAAGGATTCATCACAAAGGAAGAAGCCGAATATGCACTTGAGGGTCCTCAAGAACCCGGAACATTTGTCCTACGATTTCCCACATCGAGAAGCTGGCCCCACCCAGATGCCGGTAGCCTAGTCGTGACTTATATCGGTGGGGACCACAGAATTCGCCATCGTTTGCTTTCCTTGGATTTTATTAACAGGTTTTTTTTTTGGCTCGATTTATTTATTTGTTTTACATAATTTTTTTGTAGTCTGCATGAAAATGGTAATCTTTGCATGGTATATGTTGTTATCAGAGGTTAAGTATGGAAATTTCAACACACACATATGCACATGAACACTCGATAGACTTGGTATATATCTATTTTTTATTTTTAAAAAGGAAAAAAAGGAAAAAGGAGATAGTTATTTTACAAAATCACAAGACAAATTTCACCTACTGTATGGGGTAATTTGTAGAGCAAATGCAGTCTCAAATGAAATATATGTAACTTAAAAAAGATAATTGGAGTTTTTCTTATTTATTTTTAAGTGAGGCTGAAGCTCCAGGAATGTTCTTTTATTATTATTTTTTTTTTCTAGTCTCAAAGACGACAACAAAAAATCCGAGCATTCGTTGGGGTATCGTACAGTTGTGCTGAACTAAACAAAACTTACCCTGAGAATCGAATTGTTAGGCCACTAAACAAATCGAATTGATATCAATCTTTGAATTAATTTTCCTCTTTTGTCTTCCATAGTATTTACTCGAAGGATATGACTGTAAGGCCACTACAGGAGTTGTTGCTTCAAGAGCCCGAACTCTTGCGGTTGGGACAGTAAGATATCTGACTTTCAATTTTTTATTTTTTTTTTAATTATTATCATCTGTTATTATTGTTATCACAATTTTATACTATCTTTATTTGTACTGAAAGAATGCATGGTAAAATGCTTTTTGCAGGATTATAAGACGTTCTTCATAGATTTTCATCCTTTCATCTGGCAATTGCTGACTGTCGATAAAGGCAGTACAGGGGTATTTTGGTCGGTTTAGATTCCTACTACTAAACTTTTTGGTTACTTGAGTTTGAGGTTTTATGGGTGTAACAACTTTGATTTTCTCCTCAATGAGGTTCTTCATTGTGTAAAAATCCTCCCTTTTGCCGAACATGAAAGGGTAAAAGCTTGTTTTTCCCAATGAAGCCAAAAAAAAATAAAAAATCCCTCTTTTACTCACTTTCATAAATAGATACTGCTGACATGACGCTACTTGCTCAAACACGATCAAGACATGTGAAGTATAGTGGGTCGAGCGTAGGGTTGTAAACAAGGAGAACCGAACTCGAATTGAACTCTTGATATTCAAGCTTGACTCGTTTATTAGTTCAATTTGTGTTTATTTATCAATACTAACGTGCCAAATTCAAACATTAACGAGTTGAATAAGTCGAAAGCTCGAGAAATTATGTAAAAGTATCCCTTTTGGACCACAATGGGCAAGAAACAATAGGACTCATCTTATATTTCTGCAGAGTTTAATAAGCCAAGTATGGATAAAACAGGCAAAATGTTTGTTGCATTTAGGCCACTTTTTTCTCATCTTCCTTGGATTTAAAGAATTTATAGACATTCCTTCTGATTACCTTCCTTTTCCATATTTTGCCAACCATTTATTGCCCCCACTTGAATTTGAGGGTCACTGACTTATAGCTAGCCTGTAATAAATATTCATAGAAAAATTTTATTACATAGAAAAATGTTTAAGAAAAAAATTCCAGAAAAAACTAATCCTAGAGTCAATTACTTAGAACCAGCTGTTGAATTGTTCTATGAGGCATTTCAAGAAATGTGGGGTTCTTTCATTATTATTTTTTTTATTCTTTTTCTTCCCCTATCTTAATATAACAATTAATTCTGAAATTGACATTTCAGCATGCAATGCCAGCAATTTCTGTTTATTCACAAACTATGATAGCTATGATTGAGTATTTGATCAGCTTGGAGTGTCGCATCCAATTTCTAGTAAATGAAGTAGTGGTTCGGGCTGGGCCGAACTGGGCTCACCATAACCAGCCAAAAATTATGGGTCCTATTAGGCCCGGTTCCTCAGGTACACGAGCCAATCGATGTTTCGAACATGAGCCATCAGACAAGACTCGGTTACAATACGAAATCGAAACTTCAAAACATAAGAGTGTAATAAGATTGAATCTCACACTTTCCTTCCTCATTAACTGCAGAGGAAATTTAGGACATGCATTACACAAGGTTAACCAAACACAACAAACCCTCGAAAGATACATCGGAAATATCAATAAATGCAGTTCGACTTTTCTCGTCAGTGGATTCCATAGTTAGTAATGAACGAACATAAAAGGAAACACGTTCGACAAATAAGGAAATAATGATAGGATTTCCGAATGATCTCCCCTGATCTTGTCTCGTTTTCAAAAAAACCTACTAACAAGCAACAGGCTAAACAGAACACATATGATCTATATATAGAACCTCAGGCTGCATATATCTTACACTCATCGATCAAACTCACTTACATATACAAAAGAATTATCGATCAACAATTAATGGCTAATAAGTCTTTAATCGCCATTTCCCTCTTGATTTCCTTTGCTTCAGGTAAAATATTCGTGCTTTTTTCATCAGATTTCGTAACATAAAAATCGAAACTCCACATGAGACTTACTCAATTACTAATAAGGATCAAAATGTGTGACGTTTTTTTGCAGTTTGTAACATGGGAATATCACTAGCTGATCCATCACAGGTACTCATACATACATATATACATGTTTTTTGTAACTTTTTTTGTTTACTTAATTTTTTTTTTCGACAATTTTCGCAGAAAACATGGTGCGTGGCCAAGCCCTCGTCTGACGTGGCAGCTCTGAACAGCAATCTTTACTACGTTTGTGTACAAATCGGGTTGGACTGCTCGATTTTCCAGCCAGGCCACCCTTGTTTTCAGCCTGATAACCTTGTGAGCCATGCTTCGGTTGCCATGAACCTTTACTATCAGACTTATGGAAGAAACACTTGGAATTGTGATTTCAAAAAATCGGCACTCACCGTGACAACCGATCCAAGTAAAGCTCAATCCCGCTTTTTTTTTTTTCTCATAAACATTAGCTAAGTATAAATTTTTAATTTCATTTTGGGTTACCATATTTTTTAATTTTGTTTTGCAGGTTATGGCAGTTGCATCTATCACTATGTGTAGGGAAGATAAGATATATAAGGAGCTTCATAACATATATGCATGAAGCTTTGCATACTGTCTTCAAATTAAATAAACTACTA